ATGACTTCTGGAGCCTTTTAAATTACAATGAAATTTGTCAAGTACTGACCGTTTTAAAATGCAAACAAATTAAATGTTCCCTGGGGCTCTCAGGGAAGCGGTGGACTGCTAACCGCAAGGTCTGTGGTTCAAACCCATCAGAAAGTTGAGGCTCTCTGCTCCCGTAGAGTTACAGGCTCGGGGACCCTATATAAGGTCGCTGTGAGTCAGAGTTGACTTGATGCCTACCCCCAACTATCAGTGACAAAACAAAAAATAACAAACGCATTGCCATCAAGTCAATTCCAGCTCAAAGTACCCACAAAATATTTTTAAACAGGTATTTGAAGTACCTATCACTTACTTCATCTACCTTAAGGACCATGATATAATTTGTTTGCAACTGGTTTCCTTTAAAGAAAATATTCTGCATGGCCTTCCTAGTATGTGAAGCAGGTCCGACGTGAAGTAAAAGAGAAATCAAAAACAGACACAGACCTTGCCAGTTCAGGAGCGCTGGGCTATTATTATACAGCATACTTTTCCATTATCAGAGAGAGAAGCAGTTAAGAGCAAATGCCAAAAGAGAAAAGAGATGCCTTTACCTTTTCCTTTGCCAAACCACTTTCTGGAAAGAAAACAGAAAGGGAATACTCATAGCCACATCTTTGTAAGTGATTCGCCACCAGAGAGTTGGAAGCACCAATTAAGAGGGCGCTTCCTTCCACCGGAATTGCCTGGGGCTTCACTTCTCCACTCACAATAGGGTGCATCAAGTCATGAATCAGCTGGTTTCTGAGCTGTGCCTAACTCCAGCAAGAAACAAAAAAGAAATGAGGAAACATTTTTAGCAAGATTGTCAGATGTGATACCTGGTTGCTCTGTCCCATTGATCAGATCCCTTCTTTTGCTCTCCAGGGTGGATATTGTCCCCACACACACTGCCCCTCAGCCTGGGAGCCCAGCAGCCCTGTGCATTCCTGACAGCGCTCCCAGTGAACTGGTGATCAGCCAGGACTCTCATGGACTTCACTTTCCTCAGAGCCCATTTCGGTCACTTGTGACCAGCAAATCAAGTCTAGGAGAGAAATCTATCCTTGAATCTGACTTAGAAAGTTCCTGAATCGAGGTGGTTTGTCATGTAGCCCACTGCCATTGAGTTGATTTGGATTTATAGTGCCACTAGGGACAGAGTAGAACTGCCCCATAGCATTTCCAAGGCTCTCTGTGCTTGGTTGACAGATAAGAAACTAACAGCCTCTTGGGCATATTCGGGAGTCCTGGCGGTGTAGTATTTACTTGGGCTGCTAACTGCAAGGTCAATAGTGAAAACTACCAGCCAGTCCTCAGGAGAAAGAGGAGGCTTTCTACTCCTATAAAGAGTTAGTCTTGGAAACCTGCTGGGGCAGTTCTAATCTGTCCACTTGAGTCGGAATAGACTCAATGACAGTAAGTTTAGTTTTTGTTTTGCGTATTGGGCATATGGATCAAAATAAAGCTGAGCTCCAAAAAGGGGTATAACACTAGCAAAAGCACAATTAGCAAACCCAAAGGAGGCTGATTAAGATGCTCCATTTACACAGGGTATCACAAAACAAAAGAGCCCCATGGCACAGGGGATTAAGTACTGGGCTGTTAACTGAAAGGTCGGCAGTTTGAAGCCATCAGCCCCTTGGATAGAGAAAGATGAGGCTATCTGCTTCCACACAGGTTTACAGCCTTGGAAACCCTGTGGGGCAACTTTACTCTGTCCCCCCAAGGGGCACTGTGAGTCCAAATCAATTCAACACCACTGAGCTACATTACAAACCACCTTGGTTCAGGAACTTTTTACGTCAGCTGAGTACAAATCTACAATTCAAACCCACCAGCCACTCCTAGGGGGAAAGATGAGGCTGGCTGCCCTCATAAAGATTTACAGCCTCAGGTATCAGACATCAAAGAACAAAAATTCATATTACTGTGAATGAGGGGAGTGCAGAGTAGAGACCCAAAGCCCATCTGTAGGCAACTGGACATCCTCTTACAGAAGGGTTGCAGGGAAGAGATGAGCCAGTCAGGATGCAGTGTAGCAATGATGAAACATACAGCTTTCCTCTAGTTCTTTTAATGCTTCCTCTCCCCTGCCCCACTATCATGATCCCAATTCTACCTTACAAATTCGGCTAGACCAGAGGATGTACACTGGTACAGATAAGAGCTGGAAACACAGGGAATCCAGGACAGATAACCCTCTCAGGGCCAATAATGAGATTATTAATACCAGGAGGGGAAGGGGAAGGTGGGGGAGAAAGGGAGAATGCATCACAATGGTCTACATATAACCCCCTCCCTGTCGGACGGACAACAGAAAAGTGGATGACAGGAGACATCAGACAGTGTAAGACATGACAAAATAATATTAACTTATAAATTATCAAGGGTTTGTGGGGGAGGGGGGAGGGAAGGGAGAGGAAAAATGAGGAGCTGATGGCAAAAAATGTACACATGTGCTTGATACAATGGATGTATTATGGACTGTGATAAGAGTTGTAAGAGCCCCCAATAAAAGGATTTATAAAATTAAAAAAAAAAGATTTACAGCCTCGGAAATCCTAGAGTCGCTGAGAGTTGAAATGGACTCAGCGGCAGTGGGTTTGAATCTTACTGGAATCACTGCCATCGAGTACATACCATTTCAGTAGTGACCCTATAGGGCAGGGTAGAACTGCTCTCTGGGTTTCCAAGACCGTAACTGTTAACCTGAGTAGAAACCCCCGTCTTTCCCGTGGAACGGCTGGGTTTCGAAATCCTAACCTTCCGGACCCGGGACCGCAGCCCAACTAGAAACCACTATGGCATGAGGGCTCATTTTATAAACGTTACCCTCGCCTATCTTCATGGCAGTTCAATAAATCTGTACTTTGAATGTGCTCCTTTAAAAAGTCTCAATCTCTTCAAGTTATTCAAACAAACAAACATAAAACACCAAACTTTATTATTCCAGGAGCATCTATCACACAGGGTCATCAAACGGTAACTCACTAGGACAAGCTGCCTATCAAGCTGTGTTCAATACCCAAAATCAGAGGCTATACCACCACCACCACCACCACCACCACCACCAAAGCTGATACCTTGAGGGAATCCAGGATACCCCGATCCTTAAACGTCTGATACAACCTTTTCCGCAGTTCATTTTGACTCAACGTGTCTGGTTTAGGGGGCATCGGGGCCTGGAAGAGAAAACGCGGCGCGGGTTACCGGCGGCTGGGTGGGGGATTTAGTATTTCAGGTCCTGGCCTCCAGGGAAATGAGACGCGGCCCGAGGGCAAAGGCGGTTAACTGACGTAACAAAGGCTTCACGTCCCCACCGCGTCGGCCGGAGGGGCGCGGTATCTACCTGAGCCATCAGGTGTATACTTCCGCTAGCGCCGGCCCCCTGAGACTCAAGTGCGAGACCCCAGTCCAGGCCCCAGTCATGGGGGGCGTCTGGGCCTTCAAGGTCCTCCATTGTGCCGAGGACGCGGAAGGAACGAGGGAGCCCAACGCTCTGCCGCGAGCTTCGAACTAAGAACTCGGACGAGGGTGCGCATTTCCTCTCTCCGCGGTTCTCTCGGACGGGCGGGGTGGTGGGCCACGCGCGACCCTCAGAAACAGCTGGAGGGCGGATTGAGGGACTGGGCGAAGCGGCAGGCGGGCCGGCAGGGGGCGTTTCCACCGCTCACACGGTGTCCCGCCCCTTGAAACTGACAGCCCCGCCACAGCGAGATCCCCGGCTGAGAGAAGTACCGCGCATGCGCCGAGCGACTCAAGGCGGGCCGGAAGCCCCGCCTTCCTCTCGCGAGACCGCAGCGGCCAATGCTCCTGAGGACTGCCCCGCGAGTTTTCCCTGCAGCTGTGGGACCCAAGGCATAGCGACAGAATCTCAGTGCGTACCGTCGCTGTTCCCGTGTTGCTGCAGGTAGGACTGGAACGAGTGGGGGGCAGACACTCGAGACCCGGGGGGGGGGTATGTCTTAACTCCGCTTAATGAAAGTGGTAGATTTTTCTGGCCAGACCCACCCAGAGGACCCCGGCATGGCTTGCTCAGCCGGTCTATGCTGCGCTTCACCCTGAAGCGCTCCCGGTTTCAGGGAACTAGACTCAACCGCGCCACTATTGCCATCCTGGGCCGGATCATTCTTCGTCCTGGGCGCGGGCTGATCTGTGCATGTTAAGCTGTTTAGCAGCATCCCTTGCGTCTCTACTCTCTAAAGGAGAGTCACATTTCCCAGATGTGCTATCCTTAAGCGTCTTTCGTCGTTGTCAGCCACTCCTTTGGAGAGCAAAATCCGCCCCCCCCCCACACACACAC